AGCAGTCACAGGGTTAGATCTGACACTCATTGCTTTGTCCTATGGACTGATCATCAGGGCTGTCATCAGAATCTCCTCCAAGAAAGCCCACCAGAAAGCCCTCAACACCTGCACAGCCCACCTGTGCGTGATCCTGGTATCTTACACTTCCTGCCTCTTCTCCTTCCTGACACAGAGGTTCAGCCAGAGCATCTCTTCCCAAGCACACGTCACTTTTGCCAACGTTTATCTCCTTGTCCCTTCCATGTTCAACCCCGTCATCTATGGGGCCAAAACCAAAGAGCTTCGTGCCAAATTGGGTAAATACATCTGCAGAAGGTGATCACCTGGGGACACTGACCCTAAACCTGCAGGACAAGAAGGGGAAAGGAATCCTCCTCATTAAGTAATTGTGCTTTGCCCCAGTTTGGCTTCACCTCAGTGCTGGGAAATGCTCCTCACAGCCAATGTCTCATTACTCTAATGTAGAATAGTGATAGAGATGTAGCCGTGTTAGTCTGATCTTGCTGAAACAAAAGAAAGGACTATGCAGCACATTAAAGACTAACAAGATGGTTTATTAGGTGATGAGCTTTCGTGGGCCAGGCTTCATTTGCAACTTCGAATGCCTACATTAGCCACCCTAGTTCGAACTATGGTGGCAGTGTAGACATACCCTCTGTTATTTGGTAGAAGGCAACGATCTGAAAACTTATAATTTATTCCTACCCTTTGTTTCCTGTCTTTTAGTCAGTTATCAGATCATGAGAGGACCTTCCCTCTTATTCCATGACAATTTGCTTTACTTATGGGCATTTGGTGAGCGCACCTTGTCAAAGACTTTCTGGAAATCTAAGTATACTGTGTACACTGGATCTCCCTTGTCCACATGTTTGTTGACCCCCTCAAAGAACTCTATGGCTATGTCTACACTGGCCCCTCTTCCGGAAGGGGCATGTAAATTTCACGAGTCGTCGTAGGGAAATCCGCGGGGGATTTAAATATCCCCCGCGGCATTTAAATAAAAATGTCCGCCGCTTTTTTCCGGCTTTTAAAAAAGCCTTAAAAAAAAACACATAAAAACATATGGGGCTCGTCTACACTGGCCCCTTTTCCGGAAGGGGCATGTAAATTTCACTCGTCGTCGTAGGGAAATCCGCGGGGGATTTAAATATCCCCCGCGGCATTTAAATAAAAATGTCCGCCGCTTTTTTCCGGCTTTTAAAAAAGCCGGAAAAGAGCGTCTAGACTGGCCCCGATCCTCCGGAAAAGGGCACTTTTTCCGGAGGATCGGGGCCAGTGTAGACGCTCTTTTCCGGCTTTTTTAAAAGCCGGAAAAAAGCGGCGGACATTTTTATTTAAATGCCGCGGGGGATATTTAAATCCCCCGCGGATTTCCCTACGACGACTCGTGAAATTTACATGCCCCTTCCGGAAGAGGGGCCAGTGTAGACATAGCCTATTAGATTAGCAAGGCATGATTTCCCTTTACAGAAACCATATTGACTTTTCCCCAACAAATTATGCTCTTCTATGTGTCTGACAATTTTATTCTTTACTATACTTTCAAATAATTTGCCTGGTACTGATGTTAGATTTACCAGTCTGTAATTACCAGGATCACCTCTAGAGCCCTTTTAAAATATTGGCGTCACATTAGCTATCTTGCAGTCATTTGGTACCAAAGCTGATTGAAAGGCTAGGTTACAAACCACAGTTAATAGTTCCGCAATTTCCCATTTGAGTTCTTTCAGAACTCTTGGGTGAATGCCTTCTGGTCCTGGTGACTTGTTTCTGTTCCGTTTATCGATTTGTTCCAAAACCTCCTCTACTGGTACCTCAATCTGGGATAATTCCTTAGATTTGTCACCGAAAAAGAATGGCTCAGGTTTGGGAAACTCCCCAATATCCTCAGCCATGAAGACTGACGCAAAGAATTAATTTTATTTCTCTGCAATGACTGTATCATCTTTGAGTTCTCCTTTAGCATCTCAATCGTCCCAGGGACCCACTGGGTTGTTTAGCAGGTTCCCTGCTTCTTTTGAACCTAAAAACATTTTGCTGTTACTTTTTGAGTTTTTGGCTAGCTGTTCTCCAAACTCCTTTTTGGCTTTTCTTACTATATTTTTATACTAAATTTGACCAAGTTTATGCTCTTTTCTATTTTCCTCACTAGGATTTGACTTCTACTTTTTAAAAGGTATCTTTTTTATTTCTCGCTGCTTCTGTTACCTGGTTGTTAAGCCACGGTGGCACTTTTTTGGTTCTCTGAGGGTATGTCTACACTAGCCCCCTCGTTCGAACTAGGGAGGCTAATGTAGGCATTCGAAGTTGAAAATCAAGCCCGGAATTTAAATATCTTGTGCTTGATTTGCATCTTCCCGGCCAGTCGCCATTTTTGAAATTTACAAGTCCGGACTAACTGCCCGCATCTACATGTGGCAGAAACCCGGTATTTTGAATTGAAGCCCCTAAATCGAACTACCTGTTATTCCTGCT